GTACCAGTAGCCCCGCTCCAGGACCCCCACAACGAGGGATGGAGCTGGGGGCCGCAGAGGAAGGGCAGCCCTCCCCAGCTGGGGGGCATTGCCCGCAGATGAGAGAAAGTCCTGCTCACCCCTTCCCCAGGCAGCTGCGCACCCCGTCTCTAACACCCAGGCTGGACAGTCCCATGGGTGGGTTCGCCCACGCTCCGGGGGCCCACTGTGCCCTCTCCCCTGGACTCGCGGCCAGGGCTTCCCCGGGAGATGGGCTCCCCGGCACAGCGGGGGCTCCCCTGCCTGGCGCCATGCCCCAGGAGATGCCCGTCAGTATGTCTGGGGCGTGAGGATGAAGAGTCGGTCTTCCTCCTTGCGGATCCACTTCATGAGCTTGTTGACAGCACTGATGGCGCCGGCCTTGGTCCCCAGGGGACTGTAGCATATGTAGAGCTCGAAGGCGCTGGTTACCTGGGTGAAGAAACAGGGTACACGCTGGGCACACATCCGCACCCCACTTGAGGCTGGCACTGCACGTCCCCCCTCCAGCCCCCCAGGCTACCGGGAATGGGCACAGGGGCTCCAGTGCAGGGACACGGGGTGGCCGTGGGGTACCCTAAATTGTTGGCACCTGGTTTGCTCAGAAATGGGGGGACCGAACCCCAGGGTTTGCCCCCAGCGTGGGTTTTCTCCGCAGCACCGGGGAGTTCACGACAGCACGGCACAGCCCTTGGCACCAGCGCTCACCAGCCCCCGCTGCTATCCCTGCCCGCCCCTCCCTGGCACAGGGGTGCACGGGGCCAGGCTGCACCCTAAAAGAGCTGTGCAGGGGCTGGGGGCCACCCTGGGGACCATGGAGCTGGTGCTGTGGTGTGCCACCACCCCCTTACTCGGCCATGCAGGACCAGAGAAGATGGGCTCACCCAAACCCTGCAGATGGCCCTTACCCAAGCCAGGAGGTTCTCACGGGGGCCCGTGAAGTAGATGTTCTTCAGGGGGCGTGAAGAGTTGTGAGCCCGGCTGTGGAGGTACTGGTAGAGCCCCAAGAGCCTCTCCTTCTCCTCCTCCCGCACGTAGGGTGCCTCAATCTTGGGGCTGCAGGAACACAGCACCCCGTTAGCCCCCTGGAGAAGGGGATTCATGGAGAAGGCTTGCCCCATGCCCCACACCGTGGCCTCGGCCCGATGGTTCCCCGAGGGCCTCACCTTGTGAAGAGCCCGGAGCTCTTGGACTTATAGATGAAGTGCCGGAGGTCGGGGATGCCCACCTGGGCGACGCTGTAGAAGGGGGTGCGCAAGGCCTCCTGCAGAGCGTGGTGCACCCCACGCCGCCGCAGGCGCTCCTGGAAGCGCCGCTTACAGTCGGAGACGGTGAAGAAGTCCTCGCGGTCGGTGGAGACCAGCAGGAGGCACAGGTCCATCTCCTGCTCCAGGTAGGAGATGTGGGCATGGAAGAAACCACTGGAGTTGAACTTGGGGAGGCAAATGGGAGTCCAGGCTTCACCCTCCCGGAAGGAGGAAGAAGAACTGATGAGGTTGAAGAGCAAATGGAGGTCAATAGGGTGGAGGAACTGATCCTTCTTCCTCACGAGAGACACCAGCTGGTTCCCTGACAGAAGAATGGAGAAGACCAAGCTCTTGGCCTTGGCCTGCTGGAGGCTGGTGCTGACAGCATCCCGGACGCTGGCGGCCAGGGGCAGGCAGCGCACGGCGCCCATGAGGAAGCTGGGGTCGTGGGCCATGAGGTCCAGCAGGTTGTCGGTGATGCGCTCGGAGCCGGCCAGGAGCCTGCGCAGGTCGTAGTTCTGCTTCTGCTGGAAGATGTGGTTGAGCTGGGTCCAGGTGAGCAGGCTCAGGATCTGGTAGTAGATGTAGAGCAGCTCATGGGCGATCTCCTGCTCCGACTGCCGGGTACGCGCCACTGCCACCAG